ACACACGATCTTTGATTAAATCCTATAAAAAGTAGTCAGCTGGAGTCAAATTTGGAGATCATGGTGGTCAATCAATCGGTCCACGTCGACCGATCCATCGATTAGAAAACTTTTTATTCAAGAAGTCTCAAACGACGCGAGCGTAATGTGCTGGAGCTCCATCGTGCATATAGAATATTTTTTGCTAAGCTTATTCAGTGTCCAATATGAGAAACAATTTCTTTAGTGAGCTTTTCCAGATAGCTTTGTGCAGTAACGGTGTCACGGAAGAAGAACGAACCAATAATACCTCCAGACCAAATTCCAACCCAACAGTAACACCCGGAACATTCATTTTTTGCGTGATGATGATATGAAGATTTTCTACAGCGTAGTATATACAATTATGCCGATCGGCGTATCCATTCAACTTGAAAGTAGCGTAGTCAGCCCATATAATTCGATCAGGCAAGGAGGAGTCTTCAGCAACTAATTTCAAAAAGATGTCGGCAAAATTCTCAACGTCGATCGGAATCGTCTTCGTTCAAGGCATGTAGTAAGCGAGAACGATATGGTTTCAATCCCAGCTCCAAAGACGTGCTTCTGGATGCCGTTTCAGGACTTTTTTCAAAAGCAGCACGAATGTATTCTCGATTATCGTTGATACTAATAGATCTGGGTGGACCGAATTTAGGTTCATCCTGAACAGCTCCAGTGTCATTGAACTTTCGTACAAGATTCAAAATATTGATTCGTGTTGAAGGAGGTCGGTTGAAATAGTCCTTGGATTGCCGAGCAACTTCGCATGCATTTCGGTAAATGGCATACTATTTGACAACTGTAATCCTTTCTGACGTGAACAGTCAAGAGTGTTTACTCATGCTTAAAAACAATCTGAAAAAAGTTGAGCAGTATTAAGTTGGAATGGTCGTACGGGGCTTATTTCTGCTCAATCATGTCATATACACGTGATCTTATGCAGTGCTCGAATAAAAAAGTACAGTAAGAACTGTGCGCAGAACGGAGAGTATGACGAGAACAAAAAATAAGTCAGTGGATAAATGAGTTAACTACTTGTGCTATCGTCTATCAGATACCCAAACTAGCACATATACAAATACCGATAGATGATTCAAAATAATATTTGGTGAGATAGCTAATCTATAAGTGTCAAACGCGTTTCCTTAGGTTTCGTCGCCGTATATTTGTATGCTTGTAACAAATTACTGCATTAAGACATTGATCATATGCTGCATCTTTGAATTATGTCACCTAGTACATGTGGTATAAATCTGAGCTTTAACTTACTATGTTCAATAAAAAAACTTGAAAAAATTATTTGTCCTGTTACTTTTGGGTCACCCTGTATGACAAAGGCCGAGTTACCTTAATGAGTTTGTGCTCGTTTACCACCGAAAGAATTCTTAGTTGATAAACTAGCAAGTAAATATGATGTTGAAATAGTTATGGTACTAGTTAAGCGTTGCATCTTGAACCCATTTAAACTTTGTTGGGCACGTTTAAAGAATTATGTTCGGCAACAGAATGTACATTTCAATCTGAATGATATTCAACAACTTTGTAACGAATGCTTATCAGTATGTGGTCTTGAACATGCTGCTGGCTATTTTGCACATGTTGATAAACATGAAGAAATATGTAAAGCTGCAGAAAAAAATGCTGAAGAATTAGAAAATGATTTGATCGATAGTGACAATAATATTGACCACAATGCATTAAATAATGATGATGATGACGATGATGATGATAATGAACGTGATGAGTGAACTATTTTTTTAAGTAAACTATTATTTTTCTTCATACTTTTCATTCTAATACAAGCAAAAAGCGCATAAATCATTATGAGAGTATTTCTTTCATAAGGAAACACCATATATTAATCGTGTTGGTGTATGATCAATAAAAAGATTTAAGTTCAAAAAGAAGATAAATATTGCCATGACCTTCACCACAGTCAATAGCCTAACTTTTCAAATGTTTGTAGTAGTACCGCACATAGAAAAAGAGGAGTCCTAGGGTGTTGAAAAAATCGCCTCAATCGACTAAGCCTTGCGAGAGAGAACTTTTTGTATAGATCCAGTTTGGAGAGGAACCTGTGGACTATCTACCCACTGAAAAAAAAACAATTGATTACTAAAGCAATTTTTAGAAATTTACCTTGATTTTCCAAAGGTAACCAGAGAACACGATGTTCGGATTTCTTCTCAAAAAAGATTTCACTTATGAAAGACTACTCCTGGGTCTTGGCTATCGAGCATTGAAAACTACAGATCTCTATCTTGTTTCTATAGAAAGTTACTCAAAAAATATCTGACAATGTAACGGTCTGTACTGATAAGCGAATTGATTGGCCTTATTCGGGTCAAATGATCACTTTCACCGAGAAACTAACAAATTTAAAATATGACGTGCGGATGGCGTTCCTAGACAAAGATCCTTGAATCTCAAGGTCTGTGAAATTTAGATATAAAAATGAATCAGGAAAGGTTTTCTCCACTATTATAAGGACAAAA